GACGCTCATTGCTTGCCGTTTGGAACGGAGTTCCAATTGGTCTTTCTGCTCCCTTAATATTGCTCAAAATTTTCAGAGAAGTTAGCAGAAACCGAAAAAAAAACTAGCCTTGTAAGAATATCTCCCTGGTACAGCGAGTCTGCAACCCCGCTTTTCTTGTTGATTTCCTCAATCGTGTCTCCCACTTCATTTTCATTTTCATCGACAGCTTTTCTCTTGAACGACTTGAAAATGGTCCTTCTTCAGAAACTGCTTCATTTAAGAAGGTCCACTCACTTTGCGTCTCTCGAAGAGTTTTTCTCTTTTCTCTGTAGAGGAGTGGAGAGAATGCGATTTGTGCCGCTGCTCTGGCATTGCTTCCACACATACGGCCACAAATATAGCAAATGCAAGGACCTTCATTCTGAAATGTAAAGCTGAAAAAATTCTTGTCAGTTACGAAAAATGGGAAGCGTGCCGGTAGATGTGGCTGTTACCATCTTCTCGCATTTATATAGTGCTTTCAAGCATTGCAGTTGACATTACGGGGATAGTTTGCAATGTGGTCTCAGTGAAGCATTGCCATTTCAGCTGCTGCTTCTGTCTGACTCTGCGGTGATATATGTTGCGACTATTGTGAAAAAATACTGTGAACGCCTTTGTAGAAAACTAATCAATTAGTAGCTCTGCGTCAGCCGCACGCGTTAAAAAAAGCGTAAGTGCTTTTGGCGACACGAACAGCTGGGGATAACAGATACATGATCCAGCCACATAGCTTTCTTTCTCCGATACCGAATCTCAAGCTTCAATAAAGTGAATGTATCCTTACAACTCGGAGTGCATCAATGCACATGCTGTTTTTGCGGCATTCTATCGATAACTTGACGCATAAATTATAGGTACAGGTAATCGCTTCGAAGGTAGTGAACAGTATAGCTGGAGGGGCATGATTTATACCGTCGTTGGCGCGTGGTGGAAGTGGCATTGCAAAAATACTGCCGCAACTTCATGTTTTATCGATTAATGATGTGTCGTAGTCCACACCTTCATGGAAGATTGCCGGATTGGCAAAAGGTCACTGGCAAGATGGGAGGCTCTAACTGTGAAAACCAGCCCTTGTTGCACACCACAGTAGAGCCTTGTGCCAATTATATGTACTTCTTGTGATGGCGTCTTATATAGTGTCGTTCACTATAAAATGTCGATTGCGTCATCGTGGGCCCGCAGCTACTGCGATATTAGGTTTTTTTGGGGGAAGCTGTATTCACCTGCTCTTAAATCATCATCGTCGTTGTGAATCCTGATTTAGCAACTCTTTTCCTGTAGTGAGCTGCTAGGCATTCTCCAGTCGTTGCCTTGCAGCCGTCATTATGCCGTCATAATACCGATTCTCGCTCTAAAAACTTCTGAGAAGAAACAAGACGTTCTTTTCTAGTAAGGATCCTCAGTGCCCACTCTTAAAAGATACTCGGAGCAATAAACAAAAGCAGCTCAGTTATGAAGTAAGTGCGACTGTCGTCTTATGCCAGCAATCAAATATGAGGTGAACTATTCAGCGACATATTCTGAGATTATATTGATAAGTACTGCAGCATTGCAGGGAAAAAGATTCGAATTTTTAGACTGGCTTCCCTAACCTACTACGTACCTCTTGAGCAGCATAAAATTAAGAAAATGGCGCTGCCTTCGTAAGTGCGATCAGTCTATACTGGGTTATTGAACCGATGGAATGATCGTCTTTCATTTCCAGGTGGGTGCTGCTGCACCAGCCTCAGAATTATTCTGTAGAACAAATCTGGAATTATCATGTATCGAGTACGGTGACAGAGCAGCAGCTGTAGGCGTTTTTTCATACCGTTTATGTTAACTATGCGACGTTCACAATACATGTCACGCCTCAAGATGCAGAAGTATCTGGAAAAAAGAATCAGCAAGCCAGACTGCCCCAACTATCTAGTCACACTCGCCGCATGTCTATACGCGGCGAGTACTTCAAAAGCATAGCGAACGTTAGCGTTGAAGACGGCACAACGATGATATTCGCATCAATGTGGAAATCAATCAAGGGATCCCTCCTTGGGTTCCCGATCCGTTTATAATGGATTCTTCTTAATCCCTGCTCCACTGACCACCTTTACCCTTATTTCGAATGAGCTACCTTCACATTGTGAAATCCGCCTTCAAATCGTGTTTGAACGTAGTTCGCGTCCAAACCCACGATTGAACGTCACATTTCCGTCCGTGTGAGATACGAGCTCGATATTTCCCAACCAGTTTAGCTTCGCACACTACCGCGTGCATGACACGGCAGGGCTTCGTAAAGCTGGCCAGCTGGCGGAGCCTTAGGTTTCCGCCGCTAAGCAATAACTTGCTCCGTGAAGTGTGTTGGCTGTCTTTCCATAAAATGCTAATTTTCAAGCCAATCCTCTGATAAGCGCGGAGGAAGTGCGGAGCTAAAGTGGTGTCTGTAAACAGCCACCATGCATTGGATCAGGATGATTTAGCGGTCGAACTAATACTGATGCCAATGATTTTGCGATAGAAATACCCCATAAGTATATCGCTAAACATCCATCTTACATTCTTGGGAACTTTGACTGCAGCAGTCCAACGGTAATGCGCAATGAGATGATATGGAAGTGAAATGCGTTATTTTGAAGACCAGTTTTGCTCCGCCCGCTATCGCGCGCATCACACGGCAGGCTTTAGTGAAACTGAAAGACCCATGGAATATCAGCATGAGGTACTCCATTAGCCACCTCACTATTGAATGTGTTAGACCTTTCCCAGTTTCGCTGAAGTCCATCGAGAATACGCGTGATAACGTCTGGAGCTGAACTGGCATAATTATCTCACAACTGTAAACATCCAGCATTCTTCTTGAATTCAGATAATTTAGCGGTGAATAGGATTGCACCGTACGGAATTCGACGACTTTGCTTCTGACGCGCCTTATCACCCCTTATCGGTTGCAGTCACTTTCATCACCACCAACAATGTCCCCGTCCCACCCCACATGACACTTGCGAGTATGGTTGCTCTGGTGTCAACTGGAGTTACTTGACAGAATTGACGACTTTTGCGTTCTAGCGCATCTTATCAGCCATTATCAGTTGCTATCGCTTCCAATCATGTACCACCAATGTCCCGGGACCGCCCCACATAAGACTTGTAAGTATAGACGCTCTTTTACCAATATGAACGGCAAAACGAAATTGGCGATGCTCGCTTTCTAGCCCCTCTTATCAGCTATTATCAGTCGTTATCAGTTTCTATTCTATTGTTATCTTGTGTCCCCATCCCACCCCCTATAACATATGTAAGAAGCACTGCACTATCATTACTGTGACTCGAGCTATGAATTTCGTGACATCTGACATACGCAAACACACACACAAATAGACAGATATAACGCTTTATATATAGTAGTAGGGATTTTTGGCTACTTTATGAGACGGGCTACTATCATTTTGATACATGAAGCTCTCTGGCAATGGCCCTGGGGAATA